TGACGCCGCCGTGGGGGGTTTCTGCCTACTACCTTTCTGGTTCGTGGGGCCCACCTCCAGCAAGCGCCAGTGGCAGAAATTGTCGTGTCGCTCTTACAGCAGGGAAGTTTCAGCTCTGCCAGTCGAAAAGCTGAATTTAAATCAGTTTAATGTGGAGTGGGAGCGCCACAGGTTAGGGGGAGAACACGTTTCAGCAGGTAACACGCAGCTCGCCGGCTCAGAAAATGATGGTCATCTAAACCTAGTATGTGTCACACCCAGTGTTTGACACTGATGCTCCCCAAAGTGCCTACTGTTTTCTTTGGGGGACACCTGGCAATGTCTCCATTTGAGGGGTGGGCTCGAGGCTAAGCCTGGCCATGCTTATTCGTGTCAGCCGAGGCTGGGTTGGCCTCTGGGGGGGTGACCCTTCTGCCTGAGTGAAGGAAAAAAATAAAACAGAAACCAGCTCTGACTTCTAGGGGTTTATGTTGACACCAGCTGCTCAGAAGTCCATTCACAAAACTAAGACAAACTTACACTCCCTTTCGTGGGTGACCGGCCTCATGACGCAACAGAGTGTTTTTGAGGAAGAAAGGGAAAAAACCACAACAGTTTGGGAAACATAAACACTCAGCAACTATTGAAAAATTGCTGCTCTGCCAAACGCTCCAGCAGCAGCAGCCGTGAGCCAGCTTTCCTCCCACGGCAGTGAGCTGCTGCAAGTGGATACTTCATCTCCTTTGCCTGCATCCTACTCGCAGTGCATTATCTTGGCTGAGAAGAATCCAGCTGCCGGCAGGTCCAGCTGCAGACCTTACAGCCTCAAAGCATGCTCAGTTCCCAGGAGTTTGACTGCCTGTCCCAGGGGAGACCAGCACGGCACTAGGTCTGGATGGGAAGGCTCTCGCCACAGGTTCAGCCCTTGGCTGGCTCTCTCCCAGTGCGCTCGGCCCACAAGCTCACTAGAATGACACTTGCACCTTGGGCTGAGCAATGCTGTCTCGTTCAGTTCTTACAAAATCAGAATAATACCGATCCATTCTCCATAGCTATGTTGGAACAACATGGCACATAACTGGCTTCCAAATGGAGTCAGGCCCATCCCATAAATCCCTTTTGCTTGGTGACAGAAACCCACAACAAGCCTTTCTGTCTCTCTGTTCCCTTCTCCGGTCCATTCTCAATCTCTGTCAAGTGTCAAAGGGAGCTCCCTACCCTGTAAAAGCTCCAAGTTGCAGCGTTTACACCAGAAATGTAACGTGGCCATCTTCCTGCCATGTCCTGGTGGCAGGAGCAGCTGTTCTCTGCTGCTGACTAGTCCTCTTGTCAAGTAAAATGTCCTCCCAAGGTGTCAGAAACTTTGGATTGAACCTTGTTGCTGGGAGGATTTCACCTCCCACCTTGCACACTACAACTTTCCTGTAGGTTATGAGATCTTCGGGGTTAGCAGAGAGAAATCTGAAGCAGGGACTGACACTTACACATAGAAACAGATTATTTTAGGGTGGAAGGAACCACAGGAGGTCACCCACACACACTCAAAGCAGGGCTGGTCTTCCTGCCAAGCTGCTCCACATTGTAGAGTATGATTCCGGCTTCACGGGGCAGAGAAAGTGAGAGAGAAACTTGAGCCTGGTGGCTGGTGCCCTCACCTAGGCTCCTCTATTTTTGGGAGACTACAGGGATATGTGGCAAGGATGCATTCTCCCTTCTTGTGCATACTTATACAGTCATACTAGGTAGAAGGTCCATAAAGTACTCATGAAAGACTCAAGAAAATGACTGGTTTTCCTCCTTTCCTGACTGAGTACCCAATCTGACTTGCCCATGTTTTTCCCTTCCTCAGCTGCCAAGTCAATCTTGAACGTTTTCTTCCTACTATCTCATAGTTAGGACACTCTTCTGAAAGTCAGGAGTTTGAATCGCTTTTTGTTGAGGTGAGAACTAAACCCGGTTCCTCTGTCAATCCTGGGAACAATACATAGGAGCCTAGGTGCTTAACATAAAGCCATGGTTTCTACTCCACGGGCAAAGGACAGAAAATACAGGAGCTGTGATACCAAGTATTCCAGCAGTAGGGTGGATCCAGGCCTTAATGTACAGTGAGCTAAGCTCTGCATGTATTTCATGTCCTCCCTCAAATGCAAAGACCACAGGGAGTGCTTTTAAATAGTCGTCATTTGCTTAACTCACACTTGGTTTCCCCCAAGGTCCCGCACTGCCACCCCGACTGCATTGTTTCCGGTATCAATGAACAGTTTTCCAGTCTAAGTGAATTTTCCTGTGAACAGATTTCCACTTGACTGCTGGGCATTTGCAGTGCTTATATGCCTCTGCCAGCTGTTGCTTTGTGGGTGGGGAGACGACATTTTCAGCTGAGCTGGGCACTTTCAGCATTTGCTTGAATGCGCAGACAGCGTGATTTTTTCAATTTTTTTAATGAAAAGAATTTGTGCATAAAATCAAGTTTGTTTATTTTCATTATCCCTGACTCATTCTCAGGTGAATCACACTGTGCTTCGTGATCCTACGCTGTAAGGAACTGTTAAAAGAAATCTAATGTGGTTTGAAAGTCTTTGCAACAGTGTTCCCATTGCCATTGTAATCACTCCCATTGGGAAGTAAAGTAAGTGGCACCAACATGAAGTTTCTGAACTAATATAACTGTAGTTACTGAGTAATTAAGTTCATAAACAAAAAAAAAGAAAACCCTTCATACCAAAATAGTTCTACTGGTAAAAGCAGTTTAAGCACAGAGGAACTGAGTGGCTTTCACTGTTTGCATGGGGGACCACCACAGTGTGCTGATAGAATCGTAGAACCATAGAATAGTTTGGGTTGGAAGTGACCTCTAAAGGTCACCTAGTCCAAGCCCCCCGGCAACAAGTAGGGACATCTTCAACTAGATCAGGTTGCTCAGAGCCCCATCCAACCTGACCTCAAAAATTTCCTGGAATAACTAAATCTGAGATTACAGAAAAAAAACTGCTCAGGAAACGGAATTTTCAATTTCATGAATTTTTTTTTAGCATACCAGGATGTTGTTTAACAACTCTGCAAGTACACATAGCAGCACAAAACTAAATCAGATCTGCACATCTTGGCCGCAGGTTTGTTTTACACTAAGGCTGTAATACCAGTGCCTGCCTTATATTACATGGCATTTCAAAATTTCCATAGAACTTGGCAAAGAGTAACAGTTGCATCCTGCTACAAAGAGTAGAGCTTATTACCATAATTTTAAATAAAAACTGGAAATAAGTGTTCACTGGTTTTCTTTACATGCTCCAATTTGTTTTAGTCTAAGAAATTTGTCATTTTCACAATTACGCTGTTGCTCTGGAGGCTTGTATGGAAATGTCACTGCCTATTGGTATGATTTCACAAGTTTATTTCCTCCTTTCTTGATTGAGAGATTATCCAGATCAGTGGAATTTGTGGGTGTAATGAAGAAGGAGTGGGCCCGTTGCAGTCTATGGGCTTTTATCTTACAATCTGTGTGAATCAACTTGAGTCTATTGCTGGGGTTGGAAAGATGAAGAGTGGGCTGGAAGCCAGGAGTTGGCTATTAGTATTGCAGCTTTCAATCTTGGAAAATTGATTGGGTTGACAAACTCAGTCGCATATTTGAAGAGACACTAAGAACCTACTTCTCTGACAATAAGCCAGCTTGATTGTGGAGCCAAGTATTTCAGGATCAGAATGTATCTGTATTATGTGTCTATGGGAGGATGCAGATGGGGCAGAGCTTCAGTAGCCCTCCAGGCCAGACAGCTGATGCTGCCTAACTTCCCTGTGAGAACTGGAGAAATTTCTCTCAGGAGCGACTTGAAAATGAAAAAGACCTTCTGCCTAAAACAGCCCCAAAGCCTTTGGCTGGAGCAAACTGGGGTAAGGAAATGACTGCTGTTGCCAATAACTGTAAAGGAAAATAATGTCTGATGCTTTTGGAAAGGTATTTAGTCATCTTTCTGATCAGACTGAAGCGATATCTTCATTTTGTTGTTCAAATAAAGCAGCTGTAGAACAGTGCCTGGACAGGGAACGCTCCTTCACTCCTTACACTTCTTACCATTTAACACAGTCAAGGGCAAAGCTGCCTTGTTCTTCTGCAAGAAGGACCAACACGCACCAAGGAGACTTAGGAAACAGGCGTGCCCTTACCTGAAAGTCTAACGCAGCCAGGGAGATGGTACCACCACCTCATGAATGTTGTGTGACGGACTCCTAGACACAGGTTTGGTTGTGCGCTTGTGCTCCTCCATCTGTTTACACCAAAGCAGTGAAGTTTTTTATTCAAAGATCTGTTTGAACTATTTGCATGCTTATGATCCTGGTGCATTACTGAGATCATCCTTTTATTTCCTGTAGCATCTGAAATGCAGTCTCCAAAGGAAGAGTGTCCCTGCCCTAAGAAATGTACAGTCTGAGCGTATCACAGCAATATGGCCACTGGATGGCCACTACATTTTAGCCTATCTTTCCCCTCGATTTCAGAAGCAATCTGTTGCTTTGCCTTCTTTGGCAGTTACGGGAATCTGGCCAAAAGTAGAAATAGAGGAAAGAGGCAGCAATGCAATAGGAAAATACACAGATGCAAGGCTGGTATGAATCTTCCTGGCATGGACTTACTGTGAAGCCTTGTGACAAACCAGTGTCCCCAGTCAGAATTTGGCAGACAGGTGACAAGGTCTAGGTGACAAGGATAAAACACTGTAACCGTCGCTTGCCGGGTCTGGTTTCACTAGCTGATTTCTGAGGTGAGAAGTTTGCCTTGAGGAAAGGGAAGTAGGGAGGAAAGTGGTGTCAGCATCTTTTTTAACCAAAAAGTCAGTGAAGCCCTCTGCTGACACAGACTTTGGCTAATGGTCAAATAAGAGCAGAGGTGATTGCCCCTACCCTTTTTTCCCAAAAGAGCACAGGCTGGTTTATCATTAACAGAGCCAAGCTGATCGAGCAACGCACCACGGCTGTTTTTCTCTGGACAATCCTTGTACTTGTAGTGGACTAACAGGAAGATGGTTGAGGATCCGAAGAGAAAGCCGCTCATTGTTCTTGCTGTCCTCTTGCTGCTCAGCTCAGCACAAGCAGGTAAGAAAGACAAGAGTGCCTGGCAAGGGATTGAAGGTTTTACACAGAAGGATCTGAATTCAATTCTCCCTAAACAACGTCTGTGTCAAGAGGTCCTTGTTATAATCTGGTTAGGTGCCAGGAGAAAGGGTAGTGCAAGAATGGTCCTTTCTTATCCCATGCTTTGATTCAATCAGTCTCAGTGATTTAATTGCACTAACCTGATTTAGAACAATGATCCGGGTTTGCCCTGAAGTGTAAGGAAGCGGACAAGGGACCACTTGACTTCTGGCACCGGCTTCTCCTTCTTTGAAAGCTTGGCAAGTGTAATCTGCAGTAGCTGAGAGAAAATAAACAGATGCCACACTTCCATTTCTTTCTTTAATTGTACTGTCAACCAAAACTGCTTTTGTGACCATTCACTACAGTCCCACATCACCTGCAGCTTCACAGCAGTGCACCTCCTGCCTTACCTTTACTCATGACCCCCTCGTCTTACACCATTTCTGACATGCACCATGCTTGCACTGAAACTGCCCTTGCTAGTTAAGCTGGCTCATGAGCTGTGGTTTTTCTGAATTGATCTCAGAGAACATCTCTTTCTCTCTTGCCTTTAGTACACAGGAAGACCAAAATAGACAGCAGTAAGGGACAGTCACATCCCACAAGGGGGAATCTGAATGTTGACTCTCACTTCTTTGTGCTGACCCTCAGGCCATGTTCTGCCTAGCTAGTGTAAAGGATCTTCTATGGGAACCACCAGCAGTTAGGAAGCTGGTTGTTTGATTTTTTTTATTATTATTTTTATTTTATTGTATGTGCAGATTCAAGGCTGTTTCACTTCCTCCAGTCCAGAAAAGGGAAGGTACATGCATTGTCATTGCAGCAGGATGCAACTATGCCAGTTTATAAAGTAATACTTTTTAGGTCAGAAGGGATCGTTTAATCAATTATTTGGCTTCCTGCTTATTGCAAGTCAACAAGTTTCACCCCATTAGTCCTTCAGTCAATCTAACATCTTACCTTCAACAAGCCTTCCAAAATAGCAGCCAGTCCTCTGAAATGGCAAAAGATGGAGAATCCAGCTCTTCTGTGGGTAACCTAGCTATACATACTGCTAGCCATACATACTGCTGAACTTCTATGCTTGCTTTCTAGCCTAAATTTGCTCAGTTTTTTACTAGCTACAGGTTTGAGATTTTTTTTTTTTGCTGTCTAGATCAAAATGCCTTCTCGTAGCTTGCCCTTTCCTTCCCATAAAGCATTTTCATCCAGTAAATGAACCAATCAGGAAATTATTATTGACACATTTTGTAATCAGCATTCTCATATTTTGTCATCAGCATTCTCATATTTATTTCTGGATTTTTGATACAATTGTCAGTTAGTCTTGTACCTTCTACTAAGCCTACCAGAATTTGAATAGAAATATCCCCATTTGGTGGTGACTACCTGTTGGCAACCATTTTTTTAAAGATCTAATAGCCAGCTCATAAATGTACTTAGTAGCTGGCATATGTGGCCAATTTGGAAGAAAACCCCAACAGAATGTCATTCAAATCTCAGTAAAACAACTCTCAGAAGTCAAAGCTACCATGACATCCACAGTTATCTTCCCCAGCCAGTGCTGGCATTCAATCAAAGGACAGAAACAACTTTATCAGGCAGATAAAGTTTCCAGAATAAGCTGATTTTAATTTATGTTCTATCCTTTTAATCTTTATCAATAGAAGTGAGACTGCTACCTTCATTTTCCTAATGAATAAGAATGAGCTTTTTTTTCCGTTGCACAGACGCAGACTAAATATGCTATTCACTCTCTCTCATTGCAGGGAATACAGACTCACTCTCAGGGCATCGCTGCACTGACTTCCAGACAGCAAATTTCCTACGGGGCAGTAAACTTAAGGTCCAATTTCTCCTGTTCACCTCCTCAAGCCCCAGCTGTGGGGAGCTGATTTTAGCTGACAATGGCATCAAGAACTCCAGCTTCAACAGCAGCCTGGAAACCAAGATCATAATCCATGGCTTCAGGTGAGAGAAAGAAGAACACCGTGACTACGTTTTTACTGGTAAATTAAACACTGCTGGGGCATTCCCAAGCACGGGGTGGGGCTGGCGCAGAAACCCCCTGCTCATGTGACGTTATTAGTCTCCCCAGCAGGGTGGCTGCATGCAAAACACCTGCTAAGAACAGAGTCTGGAGTGCTCAGCCCCAAACCGGACCTGGGAATTGTCTGGGAGACTGTTGGTGGGCCAGGGCCAGAGGCATGGAAAATGCTGCTGACAACCCTCATTACAACACAGCTTGAAGTCCTTTAGTTTGTGACCAGATGCCTATTTTGTATGTTTCTCACATTTTTTGGAGCCCCAAAAAGGTTAGGAAATTATCATCTTTCTTTCTTTCTCTCTCTTGCTCGTTCTCTTGCTCTCTCCTCCTTTACCTCTTTCCTTTTCTTTCCTTCTTTCAACCTTTTCATTTAAGAAGTCTTTTCTTCGAGAGTCTTGTCCCTTTAAATTGTCTCCTTGGAGCTCATGTCCTGATTTATCAACAGCCTGGATTAGTCAGCCATTTAGGAGCCCTGCCAGACACATTATACTTCTATTCTTGAAATTGTAGGGATTTGAGCTGGGTTTTTTTAAACTGTCACCATTCTGCAAGTTTATTTTACTGTGCCATTTTTCAGCCAGGTGTGACCATATAACATTATTTATGTTGATGTGCAAAAGCCTGAATGGAAAGTGCATAGAAGACCAAGATGAAATCACAGAAGATGTTGCAGGGTCTTTTCAGAAAATCAGCTGTTGCCCTCATGTGACATAGAACACCCCCCACCAGGTGGTATTAGGGGAGGTGGGTAGGACACAGCCTCCTTAGTTTTCCTTGAATTCCTTTAATTGTCTACAGATGAGGAAATGTAGGAGTGAAAGACTAGGTGATTTGACCAAGGACTTCCTCCCAGTTGGTAGCAGAGCAGGATCCAGGTGTTCCTGGTCAGCTCACTTACTCCAGATGGGCTCTGTGGTGGCTAACTGAAGCACCACAGCAAGACTGAGATCTCAGCCTGAGCCCTGTGAATGTTATTTCATTCAGTAAAATATCTGGTTCCCTTCTGAATCAGCCCATTCTGGAAAGTGTTATTCTACCACCGCAAAGAAATGCCAGGTGTGGTTGTCTGGCACCAGAAGAAACTTTTAGCAACTGTATGGCAGCCTCCTCTGAGACATGTGAAGCTCCAGCACCAGTGAACAACATATTGGCACATGCCCTATTTTGGAAGACACCTAACATTCTTGTTTCTGATGACTCCGCAGGGCTTTGGGTACCAAACCTTCCTGGATTGAAGGGCTTGTCCATGCCATACTGCACACAAGCCAGGTGAACGTGATCGCAGTAGACTGGGTTTATGGGTCTACAGGAGCCTATCCCTCCGCAGTAGAAAATGTCACACAGCTGGCCCTCTCCATCTCACAAGTCATCAGCAAGCTCCTGGTAAGCGACTGTGCATTTCCAGCGTGGGGGGAGCATGGCCAGAGAACATCATTCATACAAACAATCCAGAGAACTGCTCCCAACCTGCTGTCTCCAGAAGCCGGACAAGCGGGCTCTTTATTCCAGAGTGAGCGCTATGTAGCTCACTAAAGAGATTTCTTTTTTCCCTCTCTCTCAGTCCAGGCTTGAGCATGCCACTGTTTTTCTTCTTTTTCTTGAGTTTTGACATTTTCTGGAAACACATCCCTGTTGTCAGCTGCCTCTCCAGCCGGGGTCAAACCTGAAGGATGCCTTGGGTTTTCTCAGTTCCATGCTTCACTGGGCAGTCGTCTTCTTCTGTCCAGAAATTTTGTGCAGGGAGCTGGAGGGGGTGGGATTTGAGGCTGTTTTATATTTGCTTTGGGCTTCAGATATACTTCCCAGCAGCTGGAAATCCCCAGATGTGTCCCAGTTCATTCGTGCACAGCACAGCTGAATGCTTATGCAATGAGGGCGATACATCTTTGTGTTAACCAGCTATGCGTAAACTCTCCATGTAACGTTTGCTCTGCAGACCCAGGCTGCACAGCATGGGCGTTCCTGGGTATGCACCACGTTGTGCACAGTCACGCGTTTCTATCCAGAAATACGGCAACCCTTGGAGCTGCTGTGTCATTTGAAGGATGGGGAGGGGGGAGGTCTGTCACCCCTCATTACTGATTAGGTCACACAGGGAACAAATGACTGAGCTGGACAGTGTCCCCACCACTCATTCTGTGTCTGTGCTGAGCTCTAGTCCAGCTACTGGAGGATTTTTTCTGTCCAGCCTCTCCTGCAACACTACACCACAGAAGACTATATTCTCTTCTCATAAGCCTCAGTACTGCTCCAGGATATGGCCTCATATATTTCAAAGTCAGGATTTTTCATCTTGCCCCCATGCCCTCGTGCACCATATGCTCTCCCATTGTATGGTACTGCATCATGCAGACCAGCCTGCAGGCAGCTGAATTCCTGTGGATGGGGTCAAGTTGCGCCAGGGGAGGTTTAGATTGGACGTGAGGAAAAATTTCTTTACTGAAAGAGTGGTTAAACATTGGAACAGGCTGCCCAGGGAAGTGGTGGAGTCCCCATCCCTGGAGGTATTTAAAAGACGAGTAGATGAGGCACTTAGGGACATGGTTTAGTGGGCATGGTGGTGTTGGGTTGACGGTTGGACTCGATGATCTTAGAGGTCTTTTCCAACCTTAATGATTCTATGATTCTATCTCACATCAGGTCTAAGTGGCTGTGCTTTACCTGGCAGTTCAGCCCATGGATAAATCCTTAATCTCTGAAAATATAATCTTAAAATACTAATCAGGATATTGGTACAATGGTGGTATAAAAGTGGAAAAAAAAATTCCTCTGCTTTACTGAGAAAGATTATTCACATGGTGAACATGGGTCAGTCAGTTGAGAGAGGGAAATTCAGTCTGAAGCAAGCTGGGGAAAGAGAAGCTACAGGCTATGTAGTTATGAACAGGAGCATCTGACTGACCTGGTTAGGGTTGCATTTGCATCTGTGGACCTGAAGAAAGACTGAAAAACAGAAAGGGCAGTCCATCATTCCCACATCTATTTGGTTCTCCACCATACACCTCAAAAGCAATCCTGTATTAGAAGAGTTACAGAGCTGCTGTGTGAGGTGGGACAGGGTATTTCACCTTTCTGCTACAGAAACAATGATTCTATTTCTATCTCACATCAGGTCTAAGTGGCTGTGCTTTACCTGGCAGTTCAGCCCATGGATAAATCCTTAATCTCTGAAAATATAATCTTAAAATACTAATCAGGATATTGGTACAATGGTGGTATAAAAGTGGAAAAAAAAATTCCTCTGCTTTACTGAGAAAGATTATTCACATGGTGAACATGGGTCAGTCAGTTGAGAGAGGGAAATTCAGTCTGAAGCAAGCTGGGGAAAGAGAAGCTACAGGCTATGTAGTTATGAACAGGAGCATCTGACTGACCTGGTTAGGGTTGCATTTGCATCTGTGGACCTGAAGAAAGACTGAAAAACAGAAAGGGCAGTCCATCATTCCCACATCTATTTGGTTCTCCACCATACACCTCAAAAGCAATCCTGTATTAGAAGAGTTACAGAGCTGCTGTGTGAGGTGGGACAGGGTATTTCACCTTTCTGCTACAGAAACATTAATTTGTATTATCATCAATCTGCAGGCCCTGGGAGTCTCAGGGACATCCATCCACATCATTGGGGTAAGCCTCGGTGCGCATGTCGGGGGCCTGGTGGGGCACTTCCATGGTGGTCAGCTGGGACGGATAACAGGTATCATAAAACTGAGTCTTGGGTCCTCACTCGCTCTTCAAAGGAGAGCATGAAAGAGCAAGGAAAGGGAGTCATCCATAGTGGTCTTTTAGTTGCATAAGGGCTCATTAGATCCAAGCTTATGGGCTTCTTCCTAGCTTCAGAAGAGCCTGACAATGCCTTTCCAGCCATCAGTCCCTTCCACACCGCCAAAAGAATGCATGTATTTGCAAAAGGGTGCTTCCACCTCTGCTCCACCCTTCAAATTGGTGCCAGCTTAAAAGAATACGAGGCCTCGTGATTAATGAAAACCCACAACACCCACATGCTTTGCTTCCACTTTATAGCATGTATACCTCTGTGCTTCTTAACATTAAAGCCACAATGCATGTCGTTGTGGGGGAACAGCAAGAGTGAGCTGCTCTGCAGGAAAATGTGGGCTGAGAGCCAAGGGGACAGCAAGGTAGGTGGGGGAGCAGCCTCACTGATGAGGGACACAGTCCTACCCTATCTGGGCAAGAAGAGCAGAGCAGGTCCAGTGACAGGAACCAGTGTCATCCACAGTCCAGTGATCACCAGGCAAGTCTGTAGTGATGAGGCAAGCCCAAGGTCGAGCCAGGAAGGCAAGTCAGCAAGATAAAAGCAGGACCAGCAAGGTCACACATACACACAGCTCAGGCAAGGACCAAAGGCAAGAGCCTGAGCCAATGCTGGGAGGCACCAGATGAGGCTTCTTTCTGTTCTCTCCCACAAGTCCGCTGTTTTCACAGTAGACTGGCCTACAGCCACCCAGTTGTACCAAATCAGAGCTGACTTTAAACACAGAGAGCAAGACTCCTGGGTGTGAGGAAGAGGTTGCAGTGGGGGAATTACAGAGAAAGATGGTTAGAGGCTGATCATGGCATTTAGAGCTTTTTGGTTCACTCAGGGCCTTGTCAGCCTTTAGGTATGGAGCATGAATAGAGTCACAGAATGATTTAGGTAAGAAGGGACCTTGGAAGGTCTCTAGTCCACCCACCCCACCCAAAGCAGGGCTGCCTTCTAAGTCAGATCAGGTTGTCGAGGATCTTGCAAGTTCTGGGAATCCCCAGGGATGGAGATTCATTTTGATAGGAGGGAAAATGCCACCACGAAGGAACAGACATAAAGGCTCTAGTAGAGTGACCACAGCTCCCAGTCTGCCTCAGCCCATGCTGGTCTGTCCCACAGAGGTACTCTCAAGGAGGGTCTCATTGCACACTCAGCAGGACAGTCCAGAGAAATGTTGGTTCAGCCTTCACATGTCACAGCTACCCACACTGCATGAAATACAGGCATTTCTTAACAGGAGCTGAGTTTCATGCAGGGCCCTTTTTTAAGCTGTGAATCAAAGTTTACATTAGGAGGGTCTTGGAGTAACCACTGTCCTGCACCAGAATTTTATGATCAGCAACATCTTCCCATGAGCAGAAGCAGATGCTTTCCCAGGAAACCATGATAATTAACTTCAGTGTCAGAGACTCTTCCCCTTTCTGTTGTCTACATATAATAAAAGCTCTGTAGGTTTATTTATTCCATTAATTTTTAACTCTGCTAGAAGACAACCCTTTTTCTACACTCCTGATTGTCCTGTGATTTCATAGGCACACTGGGTGTTGCAGGTTTCAGTTCAGATTTAGGAGCCTGAAAGACAGGTGGAATTAGACCCAAGATATATCTGATCTCATCTCCCGCCTCCTCACACACATGCATACACGCACAGAGGAATGTGATTCCCAGAGCCATAATTTGCTGAAGTGTTTTCAATCACCTAAAAAGAGCTGTGGAGCAAAACCAGAGTGAGTCTTGGAGATCAGAGCATGGACTTTATTTTTGTGAAGTGAGTTCCTTTAACCCATGCCTGTTCCTGTGCATATCTCCCTGTGCAGGAAAGCAAATGGTACAGGAACTGGAATGAACAGCCCATATCCAAAATTGCTGAAGAGCGATTTGTTTCAATACTTGCAGAGGAAATGAAAAAGCCTGAAAGAACTCAGTTGCATGCAGTATAGCTTCAGTGAATAGTTTTCTTAGCTGCTGAGGATGTACATCTCAATGGAGTTTATGCAGCTTGTGCTTGGAGGAGGTAGGCATAAAGAATAGAGGATAGAAATGTGCTTGCCTCGGAGCTGTGCTAGAATTGACTGCTGCTCATATTAGGTGTTTCTCCCTCCTCAGGAAGAACTTTAAGCTATACCGAATAACACTTTTCAGTATCTTTTAAAGCCTTTAACTAAAACTTGGTCTGTAGAGGTGGGTGGGGAACCTTTCAGCTTTTTGTATGTGTCAAGATTAAAGAACACAGAAGAAAAAGCAGTAAATTCTTCTGACCACTTGTCCCATTATTAGCTTTTATTTATAGAAAGAATAGGAAAGAATTTTTTTTCCTTCTTTCCCTTTTCCTCCTGCCCTCCCCCCTCACAAATACAGACACATCAGTTTGTGTATTGTTGATACTGCCTTCTCCATAGAGAATTAATGGGACTGAGTCCTAGGCAGTGAAACTGGCAGCTCTGAGGCTAAAAGTGGCATGTGGAGCAGAGCTGCTTCTTAAACTATTGTTGTTGCCTGGGGAGTGAAAAAAATCTTGTGAGATTACTTTTCTACGAAAAGTGAACAGGATAAACCTCAGCCAGAACAAAAAAAAATTATCTTTAACCTGTTCCTTGGTATTGCCAAGGAAAATTTTTTGTATTCCTTTGACTCCCCAGAAGTTGCTCTAGGAGCAAGTTTTAGGCAAAAACATAGATGGCTGCTCAAGGACTCAATTTTATTTGTGGGGAGAGGGCTCAGAAGCCTCTTTGTTTTAAGGATGCTTGATAGTATCAAACCTTTGTAATGCTTGGATTGGTTAATGGCTGGGATGCTGAATTCATCACCTAACTGATGATCTTCAGTGGCGTTTCTCAGACTGTAGTGCTAATACAGATGACGGTACAATTAGGGAAGGTGTTAGGAGTTTGATTCTCTCTCACCGAAAATCCAAAAGACACTGGGCACCCACTCTGTCAGAGCTATTTGAGGCTCAGTCATGGCTTTACAGCCTAGAAGCTTGAGGTACAAAACCGCTAAAGGGGAGTGGAACAGTGGAGGACAAGGTAAGGAAGCTGTAGTGGAAGTTAGCGGGGGCAGAAGCCATTCTGGAGCATAATCAGTGCGACCTTGGAATAATTTATCTCTTCTGCCTAACAACATTTTTAAAGTTTTGGATAAAATAACTGGTCCAGAACTAAGAAAGAGAGGGGCTGAAGAGCACTTTTTGAGGCATTTGATTTTGTTACAGGCCTGGATCCCGCAGGCCCCAAGTACACCAGAGCTAGCCCTGAGGAACGCCTGGATCCTGGGGATGCCCTCTTCGTGGAAGCCATTCATACCGATGCTGACAGTAAGCTGGCTTCCATCTTCTTCGGCCCGTGCTTCTGTTCCTCCTGCCATCATTATTGCTAAGGAGTCTGTAGGTCATTGTCCCTTTTTTGCCAGATTACCATGAGTTCAGGTTCACTCTGAGGAAGTTTCTTGATTAGACAGGCTTTAATGATTAATTCATTGGCAGGTATCCATACCCCAGAGCACTTCAAGCAACAGACAGGTGGAGGTTAGACAGAGGGCAATCTTCCAGCAAATATTTCTTCCTTAACCCTGCTACAGCAGAGTGACTTTATGCAGAACCAGCTCAGCATGGCTTTTACCACCTGGAAGGAATGTACATGTCTAGTCTCACTTCGCTTTTTCCCACCCAATGTAAGAAAGGTGCCACTGCAAGTGCCGATGGAAAGTAACAGAGTCAAACCAACAGCTGGTGCAACAACAGAGTAACTTTTATAAAGCACTTAGGGTCTGCGTAGGCAGAACATGCTCAAGAATAATGTGGTGCCTTTGAGTCACACCTCTTGCCTAGAGATCATAAAAATCTCTCCCAACATAACTCTCAATCATGCCTCATAATCCCCCATTAAGGTTGTGGTCAGTTTTGTTCTCTTTTACACAGAATCAAGAACCTGAGTCACAGAGGTGTTGATTAAGCTGCAGTTCCCCGTCATTTTGATGGCAGGGCCTGGAGCACTCTCTGCTCCATGCAGCAAACCTGCACAATACAGGCGTGTAGGAACAGGAGGTCTGTCCTTGCTGTCTCCAGCACTGGAGTTGGGTCCAGCACTACTAATGTTCAACCAATTATTGGGGCCTGTCATACACCGTGTAGGGTAAAGCCTATAGAAGAGCCAAGTGTAAGAATGAAGTGGCATTTCACCTCCTTTCAGATTTCGGGATCCGGATTCCTGTAGGCCACATCGATTATTTCATCAATGGAGGCAAAGATCAGCCAGGATGCCCCCGATTCATCTCTGCAGGTGAGAACACTCTGTGGTCAAGCAAAGGGCTTTCATGGCCATTTAGCAGCCTGTGAAAATGCTGTTTGGCAACCAGCTCCTGCTACAGTCAGGGCAAACATCAAAATGAGACAACATGTATTTGTAAAGACATATGGCAGCAGAGATTCGTGGTCTACATCTCCTCTCGGCAGTACAACAAGCAGCTGAAGTTAAAATCACATACAGGTCAAATGTATTGGCAGTACCGCTGTTAAGAGACGTGATTTTGGTGACAATTCTGTATGAGCCAAAACCATCAGTAGACTTTGTATCAACAAAGAAAACATTTTTGCTAGAAAGGCTCTTAGGTACTACTAGCAAAAGCTTCTTTTTGTTTTCATGCTGCAAGCTGTGTCTATACTTAGAGAGACAGCTTGTATGATTACTGCTCTTTCCTTCTAGAGAATAGGACTTCACACAGTAAATAGTGTGGATAAATATTCAAGTATGTTCTGGATGAGCCAGCTGCATTGAGGGTCAGGTTACAGGGGACACCTATGGTACTTCACTTCCCACAGCTGGGGTCCCAGTGCAGGTGGGAGTCAAAGCTATTGTACCCCCTTGCAGAGAGCTTGGGGGCTCATTGATGGTATACTGGTGGAGACATGGCAGCCCTGTGGTCCCCCTCTTCTGAGGGACTCTGTTAGTCTGGGAGATACACTTCTAACTTCCTGCATAACTTCTCTTGCAGTGGGATCTGGGCTTGTAGTCACAGATGCTCTGCAAAATGTTATTAATGGGAAGGGGATCGCTGCAGAATCAGTAAGAGTGTTTCTTGACTCTCAGTTCCTTGGGAACATGCAAAAAGACTGAAGCCAACAGAAAGGCTCATGGCTGCTTTTCTCTGGGTGCGTTTTTTCTTGCAGGCTATAAGTATCTGATTTGCGATCACATGAGGGCAGTACATCTCTATGTCAGTGCCTTGAAACATTCCTGTCCGATCATGGCGTTCCCCTGTGCAAGTCATCAAGATTTTTTAAACGGTCGTTGCCTGGACTGTGTTGACCCCTTCCTGTTCTCCTGTCCCAGAATAGGTACAGTACCAGCACGAGACCTTCCTGGAGCAGTTGACAATACATTCCTGATGGATGTCAGTGCAGAGCACAGTACGCAGTTCAGCTTTCTCTGAGCAGGATTTGCTTTGGATCTCTTTGGGGATAGTGAGAAGCTGTTTCGTTTCAGGCTTCTATAGAGAAGCTCTAAAAGCTCATGTATTGCCCGAGGTAGAACACCAAAATCTTGAACATTTCTGATCTTTAAATATTTCATAGGGTCCACAAATTAGTTGAAAGAGAGTCTCCAGAATCACCTGCCTAACAAGTGGGCAATTAGCTCCAAAAGTGTCTTGTTTAGAGAAGCAGCTAGAAATTTTAGCCCAAGCCTAAAGTCCCATTCTTCTACAAACCACTCACTGTTGCTGTGTCACCTCCTTCTCATAAATTCCTGACACGGCCACCCCAAAGATGAACTCCCTGGACTGGGAGAAGGTAATAGTTGCCTGTTTGAGGCTGCTGAAACTGGGCTGTGGCACGAGGAGAGGAAGTGTCCTCTGGTGCTATTTGCAGTCTGGTACCAGAGGACTATAAGGAGAGGCCTCTTTTGGTATAGGTGCTCTCAGATCAGCCACCCCTTCCCCAACTCACCAAGCCACATTGTCAGCCAGTCAGTGGTGCAGGCCTCAAGTTGTGGTGGTCTTTTCACTTGACCGAGAAATTCAGTTTCCCAGCACCTTGTGTTTGCATTGTCATTTACATATGCACTAAGTTTCTTGACTTGGTAGTCTTTAGTCTTGCTCATTTTGTACAGGTGCAGCTGATGATGCAGTTTGTTAGCAGAGGAATGAAACAAAGCTGCCAAGAGGTACTCTGATGATGATTACCTGGGGTAGCCAAAATAGGTTTTCTGAGGGAATGTTAACCTGTCAAACAGACACCACAAACCTGTACTTGCTCTGATTTGCAGTGGTATAAAAAAAGGGTCTGTCCTCCAAGGCAGTGGAGTTGGGCGGGGTGAGTGGAGGTGAAGCAGGACCAATTATATTTCTGTTCTGGGTCATTCATGGCTTTCCCTGCACTGGCTTTATTTCCTCCTGCAGGCCTGCTGGAGCAGGCAGGTGTCAGCGTGAGAAAGCTGCCCAAGGAAGTGAAAGTTTATTTAATGACCAGTCCCTCAGCCCCATTCTGTGGTAAGTAGCAAGAGAAAAAATGAGTCAGAGGAGTGTTGACCAAATGAGGCAGGTCCTCCAGGGAGGCCAGGTAGTTACAACCCAGCATCCCCATCTGAATCAGCTGCTGTGGCCCAGACGGTCTGAGACACACAGCTGAAGAGCAATAACCCTGCACATATGCCCCGTAAAGCCCTTTCCAGTGGATTTATTAGTGTGGGCACAGCCCTGGATTAACACAGCCTCATGGCTTCAGGACTGAAGTAAAGGGTAGTGAAAATGTCTGCCTGTTTACACTGGACTATGCAGACCTGCCCACTGCGCCTCGCACAGCACAGAGACTAGTTTCTTTCTTATGTCTGTTTAATCTTCTTTCTGCTGGTGGGGCCAGGGAATGGCTGCTAGAGGCCTTCTTTTGGCAGGGGTAGGTCCAACCGATAGTACCTGCCCTCACTCCCACGTGCTTTGCCTCTTGCTCAGTCCATCACAGCCTGGTTGAGTTCCACTTGCAGAAGAAAAGAAACACAGTCACCAGCATTGAGATCACTTTCTGCAGCAACAGCACCAAGGACACAGCGAAGATCACCATGTGAGTGGCAGTGCATGCTTCTGGCCTGTTTTTTCCCAGCTCCATGTGTAAGGATGTTTACCCCGGTTCAGGAAAGGCACAACAATAGCGTATCTCCCTGAGTGCAGTCACTGTGTGATGAACCACAACCTTTCTTCTTGAATCCTTCCACATTCACCTTAAATGCTTTCAAGAATCAGGCATGTGCTACCATTACTCGGTAACCCTGGCTAGGTCCACCTCTTCCCTGAGTGCACAAAGCAGTAGTTATACTCCAGGATCCCCAAATTTGAATACTTCTGTGTTGCTATGCTGGTTCCTTTTCTGCACCATACCCTTGCCTGGTGCCAGTTCAAACCGCTATCACTGTCAGATAGTTATTAGCCCTACTCTGCCAGACAGAGATGGCTACAGCAAGACCCCATCCACCAGAGGTTCCAGACTGATGGACTTGGTGGCTTAGACATTTCTCTTGATGCCCAATAGGACAGCAGTGGCAAAGAGGAGACAAGTGCATCTCTGCACAGTCGGAAATGTGTTCAGTAGCTTGTTGCCTCTGCAGTAATGCAGCAAAGCCCTCAGGATCCCATTGTAGGGAAAAGTCCAGGGGGCAGGGGAACATGACCACATGTGTAGACAGACAGATCTCTCTTGAAAGCACCACCCTCCTCCAAAACATATCTGAATTAAAGGACCAGACTCAGACTCCTGTTACACAGCCCTTGCCACAGGGGGATCTCTCCACCACAGAGAAGTTCCCCAGAAGAAGTCTTCCTCACTTCTTCCTACACTTTCGTGCCCACTGCTGTGGGCTGGGAATTGCAGTGTAGACAAGCAGCTAGCACATGCTGCTGGCTGCCTCAGGAAGCAGGAAAACAGTCTGCTAAAGAGCCCCAGCCAGCTCTCCTAGGATCAGACAGGTTCCAGCGCTGGCTCCCACACAGTCCTTACTGCTAAGCCAAAACATTGTGACCTGAAACTAATTGTGTTGCCGCTTCAGTCCTGGGCACCAGGAGGTAGAGGTGAGAACCAGAGAAGGGGAAGCCACACTTCAGGGTACTCTCCAGTGTGACATAGCTGCTTGGTCACAGATTTCCAGCCAGGCACTGCAATTTGGAGTTTATACTCCAGCCTGGTGGAGCTCAGTCTGTTCAACCCCTCTTCGGCTTGGAAGCCAAATCTGCCTTTTCCAAAGATGCAGGAGGGAGGAAATTGTAACACCCAGGTCAAGGCAGGACCTGTGATTTGCTCAGGAAGACATGCAGCACTTCCTTTTGCAGTGTCGGACACAGGGTTTGACAGGTGTCCAGCAGGAGACGTGAGCACTGGAGAGAAAGGCTGCCTGGGGAAGCGAGACAGGCAGGCAGTCCCAAGGCTTTGCTGTACCCTCGAGTTTTAATGAGACAGTAGAGTTATAGCAGGGTAACCTATCCAGAGATACCCTTACCCTGGGGGAACAGCAGCTGTGTTTCATTTAAGTGCCTTCCTAAGAAGCACAAGGCTAAACCAAAAAATTTGCTTACAGCAATAAACCTACATATTTCAGAGTATAAAATTGAAGATATCCCTTTTAACTCACACTGTAGCAGAGAGCAAACAAACTTCCCTGCTCTAGGCAAAGCTCAGCCCTCCAGTGCAGTCAAGCTCAGAGTGTTGAACAGGCATCTAAACATAGATACTCACATCACAGTTCAGACACTGATCAATCACTGACTTACTTCAGGTGATCTGACATGCATGTCATCCTGCAGTTCCCCAGAAGTGCACAGGGACTTGGGAGTGTTCAGCCAGTGTCATACCTTCAGCAAGTGACTCGCACAGTTGTGTCTTGCCTCACATTGCCCTTCTCTTCTCCACTCCCAAACATCAATTATAATCTCACTCCTCGGGATGCCGTTACCCCACATGTTGCTCAGAGTGCCCCAAGAGACATGTCCCCAAGCCCCATAGCTGCCATCAGGCTGACAGAGTAAGGAGCTTGTTACACAGCACACTTCCCAGCTGCATTGCCATTGCTTACACATCACACAACATGATCCCCCATATCCAAGAAAACATACTTCTGAAGCCAGCCAAGAGTCCTACATCCATCTAAAGGTTGTGTGGGGTTGGACCAAATGTCAGTCCCAGGAATGACTTTCTTCAACCTGCTTAACCTTACTGTGTTCCTCTGTCCTAGGGCAGGGCTGGATCCTGCCCATGGACAACATGCAGTAGAGGGATAGCCTCCCCTCTCTTTTCCATTTGCTATCCATTATTCACCTTTATAACTCCAATTTCATGATGCTTCCTATTTTTGGCAGCCTCAGGCCGGACACAGTCAGACATAGTCAGACACACAAAACCTCCAGCATCTACCACTGCAGTCTAAGGGAGGGACGGGATATACTGGTTTGGGTTGGCCACTCTGGCCTAGCAGGATGGAGTGCAGCTGTCAGCCTGCTCCCGGGAGCAACTTTGGTTAGCAGAACTGTAGGCTCTTCCTGACGCTTTTGTCACCTCTCCCCTTTCCCTACCATCACGTTTCTGATCAGGCAGTCACCCAGGTGCTTCTGGGATTGCGCTGAGTCAGCTACACACATATTCTTCATGAGCACAAGGAAATTGATGATCTCCGGCTCTTAGAGATGCCAAGTAGGTAAAGCATAAGAAGGCCCATTGGATGGACTCCACAGAAGGGAGGTGGCCCACCTACGTAAAATGGCTGGGCAGCACCCTTTCGTAGCACACAACTGACTGGGTTCTGATCACTGGCTGTTTACCCAACCTCTGGCATTTCTCAGTTCATGTTACCTGGGTAAGAGCATAGGGACAGACTAATGTCCCTCTATCCAAGCATCCCACCTTCCACATGGTCAAAAGCAAATACCTAGAGAAGAGTATAAAAAAAGGCAGTGTAAGCATGTAGCAATACTTCCCCCAAATAGTTTCCCAGTGTCTGACTAATTACATCTCAGGGACTTTCAGAGCCAAAGGTTGTCCTTATTAGCTCCCAATGCTTTTGTCTTCCACGAACTTGTCCAGTCCCCCTCCCATGACTTGTACAGTCATGTAAACTTTCTAGCATCTACAACATCCCACAGCAAAGATTTTAACAGCTTAAAAGGAATGGTACTCTGTGCAGTGTGCACTCTTTTTGAGCCTGCCACTTGTTAGCTTTCTTTGATGACCCCTAGTTCCTGCACTGGAAGAAATGGTGAACAACCGATCCCTATCCATGCCATTCATGATTTCATAGATGTTGATCTTATCTACCACTTACCACTCTGTAGCAATCTGGGCAGTGTTTCAATCTATATGCAATAGCAAGAAGAGTTGTTGTAATTGTGTGACAGAAGGGAGGATATTTATACAGAAATTTTCCTGACTTCAGCGATAAAACATGGAGAGACAGCCAATAAGACTCTCATGCAATGCCCTGTTTTGACGGATGAGTCTTCTCACTCCACTTTAGTATGTGAGGGCTTCACGATAATACCCCAGGTTCCTCCAGGGTTACAACACATCTGCATATGGCCTGCATCTGCAGGTTGATTGAATGTTCTCCCTCAGATCTCTCACCCTGCCTTGCAGACCTAAGCACCAGGAGATGGGCAAACGGCTGCTGGCCCACAGAGTTCCCCTCTGCCAGATAAACAGCGTGACACTGAAGTATCTCTCCAAGAATCAATTTTGGAGGAAGGATGAGTCATTCATTGTCGGCAAGTTCTGTGCAGCCCCGCTGCCTCTTGATAGCAAGTAAGTCACAGGAATATCTTACAGGGATCCACTGAGCCTGTGTGTGCAGCCTGTGGCTTGAAACAATGCATTCTCTCTCCCATCCCCTCTGTGTCCCTACGTAAATCATTTTCTACCTGTCAGAGAGAAAAACTTCCAAGGTAGTTTTCTAGGAGTTTTCTATGATTCTTCCCTCAGGATAAAAGTGTTGTGCCATGGAAGGAAAATGGCTGTGACTCACATCATCCTTGAAGATGCTTAAGTCACAAACCGTGGCAAAAGCTTGTACTAACTAGAATTTGTTCCTTTTGTCCTTGCTTGCTCTCTCCATCTTCCCCCTGTCTACAATGGGCCCCCATTTCATAGAATCATGACGCGCATTTTTCAGGATGAGACAACAGAAGACCAGTAATACATTTCTGCTTCTTAGACTGCACAGGTTTATAAAGCACTAAGGCTAAAGACAACCATTTTGGCATTTTCTGGGCCAGGCATTGTAGAGTATATGCCTTCAGCCACAATTACCTTATCCAGAATAGAAGCAGCCAAGTCCTTCTCATCCCGAGATAATGGTCTTCTCCATAATACAATATTCTTGCCAGGAATTTTGCAGATCCAGAGTTCTTGCAGGCAGGAAAATATAGCTGTGTCTATACTGACAAATTAAACTCTGTCCACATTGCTTCTGAGTTGACCAGTGCCGAGTACAGGGGCACGATCACTTCCCTGGTCCTGCTGGCCACACTATTTCTGACACAAGCCAGGATGCCATTGGCCTTCTTGGCCGCCTGGGCACATTTGAAACATGACAGACGCGCATTTTTCAGGATGAGACAACAGAAGACCAGTAATACATTTCTGCTTCTTAGACTGCACAGGTTTATAAAGCACTAAGGCTAAAGACAACCATTTTGGCATTTTCTGGGCCAGGCATTGTAGAGTATATGCCTTCAGCCACAATTACCTTATCCAGAATAGAAGCAGCCAAGTCCTTCTCATCCCGAGATAATGGTCTTCTCCATAATACAATATTCTTGCCAGGAATTTTGCAGATCCAGAGTTCTTGCAGGCAGGAAAATATAGCTGTGTCTATACTGACAAATTAAACTCTGTCCACATTGCTTCTGAGTTGACTTTTATGCTAGCTTCAGGCTGAAGCAAGATAGTGGGTACTCCAAAGCAGGGAAAACCAGAAGCAGAACGGAGTCTGGGCTCATATTCAAATTCTGTTCTGAAGGGCAGTAAGGAGACTCAAGCACAAGGCAGTAAAAATATATCTAGTAGGCGCAGATAGGGAAAAAAAGAGGCATTGCTATGTAAATACCAGGCACTCCCTTGAGCATAAGGACTATTCCTTATTAGCATGCTTTGCAGAGCAAAGCATTCCAAAGTTGGGATGGATGTGCAGATACATGGCTTTTTATCATTTATGAATGGGACAGCACAGCACATTGCCTTAAAGGTGTGCTAACCTGCACCCCTGGAAGCACTGGACTTGGCTGTGGTTCAGGTAGAAAGCTGAGTTGCACAGGTTCACAGCTATGCTCTTATCACTAAACTGGGAGCGCTCAGAGCAACAGCGGTGCTGCTAGGAGGAGGCAGTGGAAGGGTGAAGGACACAACCCCATACACACCCCTCCAGCCAATTCATCCCAGCCAGGGCACAGCACCCTGTTCATCATACCATTGCAAAGCAGCACAAGGTCCATCTGCAGCTTGTTTGCCTCTGTGTTAGGATAGCAACCTCCGCCTGTTAATGCACAGCCTGACTTCCCTGTGCTCTTCTCACAGCAGGACAATGTCATGCCTGCCCTGGGACCTCACCCTCCCCGGCAACACAGACATCTCCTATGAGCTGCCTACTGCTTGTGCCTAGCACTGCCTTCGGAGCATGCAAGCATACCCAAAACCGGAAAGGAGCCCTAAACCTATTGCTGCTCTCTGCTCACAGATGATACTTTCACCATAAAACTGGATGGATTTTTTACTTCCTGCATTAGGGACAGGATGTCAAGGAAAAGAAGTGTACAGCACATCGGTGAGTACAAGGTTGATTGATTGCATCAAGACCTCTCAGTTAGAAGACTGGCTCGGGACTTTCATCTTACGGATTCTGTACCCAGCTCTGAAAGTGAGACAGGCAAGTCATTCAATCTCAAGGTTCGGATCTGTATGAAAGAAGAAGATAATATCACTCTTCCTACAACAGGAGTATTGGGATGATTAATTTGTGTTTTATATTAAAGTGTCCTGAGAACTTCATATTAAAGATGAGAAGTATTATTTTTCCTCATCAAGGGGAAACTGTGTGGCTCAGGTTTGGCACAGGAAGGAGTCATTCTTAGCCAATGCTCCAATGGGAAACTCACTAGTCCGATCTACAATACACTTTCAGAGTGAGACCCTATTGATTTCATGTTAGTGCTCCTGCTAAGTAATCGGAATGAATCTCCTTCCCGTGACAGGCCTGGAGCAGCTCTTCTGGCTGTTGGCTTGTTCTCTTTGAAGCTCACATGAAGTGAAACAGACATCAGGATCACAGTAGTGCTCTTGCATCCAATTTTGCACTGCTTTGAACAACTGCCCAGAATAGAAGGTAATAGGAGGAGAATGGAGCATCGTAGCTACAGGGCCACCTAACACAAATTAATCCCAGGAACTCAGCACAGCCTTTCAGACCTGGAAAAGTAGCCGAGATTTGGCAAGAACTGGTGAAAGATTACAATATGAGAGGCACGTACATAGAAACAGCCCTCACCCATCCACACCTTTTCCACCATCTTGATGCATATGCAAATTAAAGAGGAGAAAATCTTACATCACTTCTGCCCACAGACCACATCTTCTGTAGACCATTTTCTCTGGTTCCCTAGACTGGCTTCACTGGGTGATAGAGAAGTGGACCAGGAACACCATGCTCAGGAGAAAGGGGCATGTTAAAGGCACTTCTGCCATGAGGAAGCCTCAGTCATTTGGCATGAGCTGTCACTACTGCTCCACTAGACAGTGTCACTGCGGAGTTAGCTCCTGCTTTCAGCTCATGTCCAAGCTTTTGGTCCCTGCCATGTGGCTGTTTGGAAGGCCAGCTAACAAACACCATCTCCAACATACTCCCAGGAGAGGGTTAGAGCTGGGCTCTGACAACCTGACAGAGATCCACGTTAGTTGGTGCCGTGACCAAAGGGTTTCCAGGGAGCTTCTTGTTGAAGACTGGAATATAACCTCAGCAGGCACCTGTGAAGGGCAGTGTGTAATTCAGCCCAACCCGGTCCACTACTTCAGGGAGGTGTATAAAGCTCCACAACAGACGTAGTTTCATTGTCCATTTAGGTTCCTTTGCAGAAGGGACCCCCGCAGCTCTCTTGTTAATTTGCTGGAGACATTTCCTAGCTGTGAAGGGCAATGGGGTCAGGCTGAAGCAAGAATACAGCAACAGAGCATGGTGACAACCATTAGCAAGATGATCCCCACACCTGGGGCAGCCCCGTTCTCCTGCCCTGGGGTGACAGCAAAGGCGAGCAGCACAAGGAGCGGTGTACGCTGTGGATCCCACATACCCACCACTTCAGAGGCCTCTTCAGACCTCAGCAAGAGCGCAAGATCCCGAGGGCGCAGATCTCGCCCAGCCGAGACTTGTAAGACACGCCAAAGTGGTCTCTGGGCCATAGCCCCTGTGTGAGCAGCACAAGGCAGGTAGGGCTGCCTGCACCAGCCTGGGGCTGACACAGAGCCAGCCCCACACCGCAGGATGGCCGTGCCCCTGCGTGTGTGTGCCAAGACGCACTGAAGAACGCCCTGCCCTGTGCGTGCTGACGGAGGGATTGACGTTCCTTGCTCCTACCCCGGATATCTACCCTGGAAACAGTTACCCTCACTGCCCAGCTTGGTTGCACCAGGCTCTGTGGAACAGAGGATTCCTCTGCTAGGACTGCCATCTCTGATTCCCTGACAGAGGAAATGGCTGGGGAAGCTTGTCAGCCCGTTGCAGCTGAACTTGGAAGAGGCCTTCCATCTCCACACTATTTTCATCTAAGATACTGCACTTCTTCCTACCAGTGGCTGCTCTCCACAGAGATGTTTTGTACTCACTCATTTCTTCACTCGGTGTGTGCACCCTGAGGTCATCCCCCATCGAGCACAAAAAAAAAAAAAAAAAAAAAAAAAGGGTTCAGGCTCTTCTTCTTGCCTACACCTGCCCCCAGTCCCAGTCCCTCCCCTTTTTTATTCCACGTGAATCAACTCAAACAACCAACCTTTCACCAGACATTGGTAACTTCTTTGAGAAGTGGTGCTTGTCATAAATGAGAAATCCTAACCCCTGGAAAAGGAATTTCTGGTCTTACTACAGTTAATGCCCAGTGGGATGCATGATATCAAATCTCCATATCATGCTCTCCATTACAAGCCCATTACCAAAGCCATCAGGCAGCCCATTTTCCCCTGTCCTTTCCCACCCGTGCCTTGAGATCACCGCAAGCCTTTCAAATGGTGTTATCTCCCTCTCCAAATCCTCAAACACCAGTAGTTTCATCTCTGACTTTAATGGGAATCATAAAATCAAAGGGAACACAGATTCTGCGAGCAGGCTGGTATCGCTTGCAGCGATATCAGTGTACCTTGGTATCAGAGCTGCCGACACACCTCAGAGAGGCAGGACTAGAAAACAAACCGGGGAAGCACACTGGGGCAGGCAGCTCTGGTGAACAACCGTGGGGTGGGAGGTGCTGGAGTGTCACACTGCAGTCTCACGCGTGTGCTTCATGTGCTCCCGAGTGTTCATGTCTGCAGGCAGACGTCTCAGTGCTTGCTAAAGAGTGTCTCTCTGGTCAGAAACCTATGTGAGCTTATGCTCCCTCGGAGGGGCTTCAGGATCAAGACAGACTGTTGTTCCCTAGAGTTCGGGGGTCTGAGTGGGAGCCAGAGGGGCTCGTCCTTTGCAGGGAGGGTGGGGGGAACTCCGGAGAAGGTTTCCAGAGGCTGCAGGAGGAAAATGAGAGCAGGGGGCGGGGAGAGAGAGAAAGAAAGAGAGCACCATTATTATCACAGGAATAATTCTTACTTCCAAACTTTTCCAAGACACAAACCTCATGGAGCCCATCGTTACCTGTCCTTCTCCCCTCCCCTCCTAAATTAGCATGCAAAAACTGCAATTGTTCAACATGTGATAATTCAGAAAATGGAGTTACCCACCCATCCTGAGGCAGCAAAAACAAACCCCTCCAAAGCACCATCTGTAATATCAGTTAAAAGCCCAGAGCTCCTTTGATTTTACTCTCAAAGTGGGTATAAACCAATTCCTACTAACTTAGATACCAAGCTACAGGCCATCAAGCATCCATCCATCCGCCTCACCCACCGGATAGAAAGCCAGCCCCCAGATGTAACTGTACAAAACCAAGTAGCAGCAGCTCCACATCGTGCAAGCACTTGATGGCAATGAACCAGAGCAAATGCAGCATGAAAAGGGGAAAAAGCAGGTGGCTTTTGGTTGTTCAAATTTTCATGCAAGGAATAAAGCTTAGTTTGCTATGGAGCATTGAGCTATACAGCAGTACACTGTTAAAGCAAGTTTTGAACAGAACCTTTGAACCTGCCTCTTTTAAACAGGCAGCCTGTAGGTTACTGAAATATCTCTCCTCCTCAGAGAAAGAATGTGCTCATCAGTGGGATATCACAGTCTGTCTTGCTTGTAAGCAGACTAGAAACTCTTTCAAGGAACCAGATGATAAGACTAGTAGGCCAATGTATCTCCCAGGAATATTTTCTTCTGCATGATCTTTGCAGCACTTTGGGCATTCAAGAATTGCCCTCCTGCAGTGTGGCATTGCAAGGTGGCTGTTGCAGCGACAGAAAATGAAAAGGAACGTGATCCATAGAAGCACTTCAGCGTGGGGAATTTAGAGAGCTGGAAGGTGATTACCCAGGTTGGAAGCTGCTGGCAAAGGAGATGAGAGCACAGAGCTGGGGACAGCCTCAGGGGAGCTCTGATCTCTGGGACCGCACCTATCCTTACTTTGAACAATGACACTGCAGGGAATACCTGTTTACTGAGGATGTTTTCACCACTTCTAAGGGAAAAGTTATGAAATTGCTTTCCCTGGGCCATGGCAGACCTGCTCAGATCATCCGCTGAGCTGTGACAAGTACCTGGCCAGAAGGGAAGACTGCAGTTCCTCTGTATCACTGATTTTTGTGGTTAGGCACTCAAGTCGCTGTGGCATCCTGTCCAGGTGTGACAACTGCTGTTGTGCTGCTGGGATGTGATGTGATTAGGACACCCCAGTGGTGAGCAGAGTAACAAGGAAGCGCTCGTTCCACTGTTATGGACACACTAAACAGACTTTGTGTTTCCTTGTTTAAGTACCTTAGAAATTAAAATACCACACTGGCTATTGTCTCCAGACTGACAGACAAGGAAGATCATCCTCCTCTCCCACCCCAAATACTGGCCTCTGAAACATTTGGGCTTTTATTGCAGGTCTGTACTGCAAGTATCAGCACACCTCGTTCACAAGATCTAGAAAGACAAAAGCTTCCAGCTTCCACTGTGTTTTAAAAGAATTGTGTGAAAGAAAGAATAGCTTTGTGCTGCGTAGCACAAGCCTTCCCCAACACACACACACACACACACCTCTTGTGTGTAGGTTTACAGTATTGACTCATTACCAAAAACAGGTGGAAACAATTCAAAAAAAGCTACGGTGTTCCTTGCCTCCTTCCTTTTTGAATTGCATTTGAAATTCTGATTTTATTGAGCTTGATCAACCAGGAGAATTCTGCCAATGACCTGAGAATGAATTTCCTTCTGCTGAGAAGACAAAATACAAGCAAAGCCTAGACAAAGTGACTTCACCACATTTACAACACTAACTGCATTCATTTTTGATTGCATCTATTCAACAGACATGCCTGACAGTTAGGAGGATGGCTGTCTCATAAATGATTCAGTGTTCCTTTCTCTCCAAGTAAGGACTGAAAAAGCTGAAAATTCATATCGCCGGCAGTCTACCAGCAAAACCAGGGACTTCACATTCCTAGGACTTCTAAGCTAGAAAACAAATAAGGATTTTTTTTTTTCTTTCTCTCTCTCTGTCTCCTTTTTCTTTTTTTAAAGAAAAAACTAAGCAAAACTCTTGCTGACTTTTTATCTGATTCAAGCAAACTCAAATACACTTGTTCCTTCCCTGGCCAGTTTCTTCATATCCCAGATTTTAAGTTTGGAGGCATGGAAGCAGTACAGGAACAGGCACGTTGACTCAACTCAGAGCAGAACTGTACAAAACAGGAAGATCTTCCAGTTCCACCGTTTTCAAAAACTAAGAACAGCAACTGGATAAAACAGAAAAAAAGGCCTCTTCCACCAGAGGCCTACTGCAAATAGCAAGTGCTGTCTGACCCAGACAGCCTTTTCATTTAGAGCAGCTAGGAGGGACGGTCCCCTTGCCGTCACAGCGGTGGGGCTTGTGCAGAAGCACTACAGGGTGTGGAAGATTACTGCAGACTTGTCAGGGCTCGTGCCAGGATTCACTGTGTCCTGCTTCATGCTCCCTGCCAGGGAGTCTGCAGCCCAAGCATTTGCAGCCCAGAAGTAGGGCGCAGGGAAGACCAGGGTGTGATGGTGCACTGTGTTCAAGGATGCCTGCTGGAAGATGGTCTCCCCAGCTGCAGCCCAGCCCTGCAATTTCCTCCCTGCCATGCAGACACAACTGGTACACAGGCAGTGGTCACTTCTAGGACAGAAATCCCAGTCTCAGGCTTGGTGTCTGGCAGCTGGATGCCAGAAAGCAGCTATTATGGGGCAGTGGCAGGAATGCACGTTTTGGGGTCTGCAGCTGGTGTGCAGCAGCTGGCGTGCAGCGGCTGGCTAAAAGTAGCTCAGCGTGGAATTTCTCTCCTGGCCACTTGGATCTGAATTTCAAGCATTTCATGAGCCACCCTCCCATCTATTTCTGTTCGCCTGCATTGCTCCTCTGCCCCAATATCCACCAGGCCGGGAATTTTTCCCTTGCAAGAGTAAAGAGTTGGCATTTTGGAAGAGAGCATCTCATTCCCACTCACCGGAAAGCAGAGTTTGGGGTGTGTTAAAACAATGTTTATTTAGCCTGTCAGTCCACCCAGGGTCATTGGAGGCAAGAGCTATACCACACAGGGCAGTCTTTTCAATACCTTACTAATCCGGCTGAGCCAAAGATCAGCAGCAAGAAGGAGGACAGAGCAAATGCTGGGATGAGCTGTGGTGGGCAGGGGGAGGAAGGACTACGAGCTTTCCCCCCCTGCCCAGATTGAGCACTTGCAAGGTGTACAGCAAATCCCCACTATCAATCCGCTGTAAACCCTGGAGCTGTTCCTACCCCTGTCAGTGTATCCTGGGTTGTCTGCTCTCTCACATGCAGATGTCTTCCTCAGCTCAATACTGGGCTATCTCCAGGCACAGCTCTACCTCACGGCGAGCCAGGTCGAGCCCTGTGGTGTCTCCGTGGGCACTAGTGTACCACCTGCCAGCCTGGACGCCATTTTGGTTTCTCTGCCTCCCCTGAGGGATGGAGAGAGGACAAGGCAGGGAAGAGCTTCCTACGGCTGGGTTACCCTCCCTTCCACCCCACAGTGCGGCTGGTGCCTGGAGTCAAGCCTTCAACCCTGCTGCTTTTCCTTAAGAATCACACAGCTGGAGCCCACCTCCCGGGATTCCTTGGGGCAGCAGGCAAAAAAACACTGCGCAGGAGCAAACCCACGGCAAATGAGGGCAAGAGGCTGGGGGCCGTCGCTCTGCCCGGGCAGTTGCATCGCGGGAAGGACTTGCTTCCGCAAGCGGGTACTTACGCAGGGGTCCCACACAGGGTGAGGCGTGCCCGTGCCAGCAGTGCCCTCACTTCATATACTCCCCTTCGCTCACATAGTCCATAAAAGACCCCGGCAACTCAGCAAAATCTTCCAAGACAAGACTGGTGGAGTCCTCACCCAGCAGGTCACTGTCAGGCCGAGATGCCCGGGGCCGTGGAGCCGGTGGCGGCGGCGGTGGTGGCTGCGGAGGGGGCTCGGAGGCACCAGCCTGGCCAGAGGCAGGTGGTGGCTCCTCGCAGTCCTCTGACTCCCCCTCGGAGGAGGCTGGCCCGAGGACATGGTAGAGGCTGGGGAAACTTCTCGTTGAGAGCTTCTCTGAGATGTCGGATGTCGAAGGCCGAACTTTGGCGAAGAGCTTCTCGTTGAGGGAGTAGAGCTTCTCTGAGATGTCGTAGCCCAGGTGGGAGGAGAAGAGCCGGGCAACATAGCGGTCCTTCCTCAGGAGGAGATACAGCTTCTTCCTCGGCCAGGTGATGAAGCTGCAGTCGGTCTCGGCCGTCAGCGTGACCTGTGGGGCAGGGATGGAGCGGAGTAAGCCCTACCACCCAGATAGGGGTCACCGGCCTCAGGGCTGCGTGCTTCTCTCCAGTTAAGGACCCCAGCCCCTTTGACGCCTTGCTCTCCTTGGAGACGACAGGGCTGGAGAGCCAGATTGCCCAAACCAATCAGATAAATCCTGACCCACCTCTGCTTCCTCTCCCCAAGGAGCCAAAGACCAGGTTTTTCTATGCAATTAGCAGCATGCCCTTGCTTAATGTAGCCACATGACTAGCTACGTTTCACCCTCTCACTTTCAGATGTTGCTCCCTGTTGACACCTGAGCGATGTAGCTGAAATGAGCAGGGTGGCACAGATGGCCTTATCCCTCTACGGAAACGTTATGGAGGGAAGTGTTTCTGTGTGCCCAGCTGGCCCAGGTCACCCTGCCGCTGGGTCGCACACCCCCTGCTCCAAGAAGGCCCTGGGTATGGCAAGGGCCACCTGGAAGGCTTGCCTGGTCACCCTGCACCAGAGGGACATCCTGTCTCATGAGCTCTGCCAGGCGCTGTAGGGCTGAATGGCCTTGAAGGATGCACGGCACAGCTCAGTGAGAGAGGAAATAAAAGGGGTTTACTGTGTTTGTGTGTAGGTAGGGAGCTCACTCGAGGTTTTATTGGGCTGATTTTAGAGAACGTTTCATTTTGCTTTGGGTTTTGGCAATGCAAACAGAGCCATTTGTCCCCCTAGCTGTAAGATCAGACTATAAATAATAAAAAACATTATACAACACGAGTGTATATTGTAATATATAAATTTAATAATAAAAGGCAAGAAACACAGGAAGGGTCAAACTGCCTTGGGCCAAAGAAGAACATCGAAGTGTAATGGAGACACCGACATGTGAACAAGAGCCGAAGCCAAAATATCCCGGGGGCTCCCTTTCACTCTATATCCAGGGGTCTCCTTGGCCAGCCACCATGGCAGAGGGCCACTGGGAAGCTGAACATGGCTTGGCTGCATGTGTGTGTCCTTGGGTTTGATATTTAATGCCACTGCCATGCAAGCAGCTGCCTTACGAAAGAAATATAGGAGATAAAACCTGAGAACTTTCCCAGGATGAGGTGAGCGAGAGGAAGGGTCACATGAAAACTGAAATGACCAGAATCTCATTTTCCTAACCAATTGCTGGCACAGCAATCGAAAGCCTCTGCTTCTCATGAGGGATTAAGTGAGATGTAACAAAGAAACCTGCCTCCTAACCAAAGCAGCAGGACAGATTTCAGTCATGAATCCCCCCAACACAAGTGCTCCGGCATCAGCAGAGCCCATAATTCAGCTTTCTGAGGGGAAATGCCAGCCCTGAAACCCAACTCCTTCAGACACCGAGAGCTAGCAGTCCTGTGGGAAGACGACACAGCCAAAGCAGAAAGCTCAAGGAAACTGGCTCTCCTTGTAGACCAAGTCATGCTTCTGCCATTTTTCGGTGCGCTCAGGATTGAAACTGCTCAATCCAGAGAGCCATGGGGAAAACTTGGGCAAGAAAAACCTTCCATGTCCTCCTCCAACAAAGTCCCAGAGTCAAATAGGCACTTTTTTAACCAAATGATTGTGATGCTAGGAATAAGGTTGAGATATGCCACAGAGTTTTATTAACTAGTCAGGTAAGAGGGACTAGTGGGTTAAACAGCTGCCAAAAGCAGCACATCACCATGGCTAAGCACGGCCATCAAGAGTAATGTCCTGCCAGGAACACGGACTGGTCAAGTCTCACCTGCTGAATGCTCACACAGGCTACTACTTCTTCATGCTCCTCAGTAAGCAGACGTGGGTTTTAGGCATTTCCAGCACATGGCTGCAGCCTTTCCCCACCTAGGACTCGACCTCCCCATCCTGGTGCCAGGTGCAGCCGACCTCCCTGACCAGCCCTCTCTCGCAGAGCAGGAGAGGGGCCAAGAGTGTGATGCTGTCAGGGCTGGTGCAGCCTGGCACCAGCTTGCTCCCGAGCTGTCTCACGCACCACAGATAAAGACACTCAGGAGGTCTCCCAGCCCCTTTGACGCCTTGCTCTCCTTGGAGACGACAGGGCTGGAGAGCCAGATTGCCCAAACCAATCAGATAAATCCTGACCCACCTCTGCTTCCTCTCCCCAAGGAGCCAAAGACCAGGTTTTTCTATGCAATTAGCAGCATGCCCTTGCTTAATGTAGCCACATGACTAGCTACGTTTCACCCTCTCACTTTCAGATGTTGCTCCCTGTTGACACCTGAGCGATGTAGCTGAAATGAGCAGGGTGGCACAGATGGCCTTATCCCTCTACGGAAACGTTATGGAGGGAAGTGTTTCTGTGTGCCCAGCTGGCCCAGGTCACCCTGCCGCTGGGTCGCACACCCCCTGCTCCAAGAAGGCCCTGGGTATGGCAAGGGCCACCTGGAAGGCTTGCCTGGTCACCCTGCACCAGAGGGACATCCTGTCTCATGAGCTCTGCCAGGCGCTGTAGGGCTGAATGGCCTTGAAGGATGCACGGCACAGCTCAGTGAGAGAGGAAATAAAAGGGGTTTACTGTGTTTGTGTGTAGGTAGGGAGCTCACTCGAGGTTTTATTGGGCTGATTTTAGAGAACATTTCATTTTGCTTTGGGTTTTGGCAATGCAAACAGAGCCATTTGTCCCCCTAGCTGTAAGATCAGACTATAAATAATAAAAAACATTATACAACACGAGTGTATATTGTAATATATAAATTTAATAATAAAAGGCAAGAAACACAGGAAGGGTCAAACTGCCTTGGGCCAAAGAAGAACATCGAAGTGTAATGGAGACACCGACATGTGAACAAGAGCCGAAGCCAAAATATCCCGGGGGCTCCCTTTCACTCTATATCCAGGGGTCTCCTTGGCCAGCCACCATGGCAGAGGGCCACTGGGAAGCTGAACATGGCTTGGCTGCATGTGTGTGTCCTTGGGTTTGATATTTAATGCCACTGCCATGCAAGCAGCTGCCTTACGAAAGAAATATAGGAGATAAAACCTGAGAACTTTCCCAGGATGAGGTGAGCGAGAGGAAGGGTCACATGAAAACTGAAATGACCAGAATCTCATTTTCCTAACCAATTGCTGGCACAGCAATCAAAAGCCTCTGCTTCTCATGAGGGATTAAGTGAGATGTAACAAAGAAACCTGCCTCCTAACCAAAGCAGCAGGACAGATTTCAGTCATGAATCCCCCCAACACAAGTGCTCCGGCATCAGCAGAGCCCATAATTCAGCTTTCTGAGGGGAAATGCCAGCCCTGAAACCCAACTCCTTCAGACACCGAGAGCTAGCAGTCCTGTGGGAAGACGACACAGCCAAAGCAGAAAGCTCAAGGAAACTGGCTCTCCTTGTAGACCAAGTCATGCTTCTGCCATTTTTCGGTGGGCTCAGGATTGAAACTGCTCAATCCAGAGAGCCATGGGGAAAACTTGGGCAAGAAAAACCTTCCATGTCCTCCTCCAGCAAAGTCCCAGAGTCAAATAGGCACTTTTTTAACCAAATGATTGTGATGCTAGGAATAAGGTTGAGATATGCCACAGAGTTTTATTAACTAGTCAGGTAAGAGGGACTAGTGGGTTAAACAGCTGCCAAAAGCAGCACATCACCATGGCTAAGCACGGCCATCAAGAGTAATGTCCTGCCAGGAACACGGACTGGTCAAGTCTCACCTGCTGAATGCTCACACAGGCTACTACTTCTTCATGCTCCTCAGTAAGCAGACGTGGGTTTTAGGCATTTCCAGCACATGGCTGCAGCCTTTCCCCACCTAGGACTCGACCTCCCCATCCTGGTGCCAGGTGCAGCCGACCTCCCTGACCAGCCCTCTCTCGCAGAGCAGGAGAGGGGCCAAGAGTGTGATGCTGTCAGGGCTGGTGCAGCCTGGCACCAGCTTGCTCCCGAGCTGTCTCATGCACCACAGATAAAGACACTCAGGAGGTCTGGGAACATTCAGTTCCACAGAAATTAGCTCAGAAAACGCTGCAGATGTCTTTGCAGGTTGCATGCCATCCAGACAGCCATTTCCCTGCCAGGAGCACTGGGCAGCCATTGTTCTCTCTGCTCAACTCTCAGGCAAATACAGTCCAGGAGCTAGCAGCAATCTGCTGCCGGATTGAAGCCCTGTGCAAAACATGAGATACCCCCACCCCTAGCACAACCATGCTGTTGTTGCCCTCTCTACCCCATTATCTTGCCCCAACATCCCTATTTCTGCTGACGAGCTGTAGCCCTGTGCCACAGTCACACGGTCAGCCACCTCCTGCAACTGTTCCTCTTGCAAGGCTGTAATCACTGGTGATGGCATAGCTTTCAGGAGCGACCGCCATGGGCCAAATTCAGACCCGAGGAAAGCAGATTCAGAGAGCTGCCCTGGTTTAACCAAGTCTGAACGTGGCTGCCCTCATGAGAAAGCATCACCATTCCCTCATAACTGTCCCATGCTCCCAAGGGCTTAGCAAAATCCCTCCTCATATGCCCTAACTGACATATTCTAGATTGACATCCTGACAGGGATCAGCCTGTCCTGGGATGTGAGTTAAAGGCAGAGAGATGTGGGCTTAAGTAATCTCCAGAAGGAAAGCCAAACAAATACTGTGGAGTGTTGACAGCAAGAGCAAAATCCTTTCAGTTGCTGCAAATAAGAATTGGTCTGGCCTCTCAGCAAGGGATTCTTCTGCTCAGAAAGAACCATATTCGGGTATGAATCCTCCTTTCTGCTTCTCCACCCCAAACACATCACCATCAGAAACTTCTGTGAGGAACAGGATATTTATGGATTTACATCACTGCTGCATATTACCACGGCTGCCATCCTGATGCTGGAATGATGAACCCTGCTAGCAGCATGCAGGGCAAATGCATCAATACAGGTACTAGGGAACGCTGTAATGGAAGAGAGCCAGCAATCCGATACTTCGTCTCCCTGCTAAACTGGAAGGAGCATCACACTCCACCCTCCCTGCTATCAGCTGATAGTAGGAGCATGCACGGAGGTCTTCAGAGGAAGGTAGGAAAAAAAAAGGTAACACAGCTGATCACACCATCCTGTGCTGGCTAAACCATGAGGAAGGGGAAGAAAGTATTCCCAGTTAGCTTTGAATGGCATAATGAGCCCCCTCCGTCCCCTTCTCAGACATGCAACGAAGCAGCAAGGAGCGAAGCTGGGCTGTTGCGGGGCCACACCGGGTTACCTGGAAAGTTCCTTCCTCAGAGGGTCGCAGCGACTCCCATTCTGGAGAGTCCAGGAACTGGTACGGAAAGACGTAGTGAAGGAATTGTCCGTCCTGGCTCACTCGGACCCTGCAGAGAGGACAGGTGAGGCGCACAGGCTTAGGCCACAAAACAGATGTCACACAAACCTGATTAGCTCACACAGTGTGCAGGCAGCCGGTCCCACCAGGGAGGAAAGGACTTCTCCTCATCTCACGCATGTCTCATACCTTCTCCGGGACAGCTGCAGATGCTCCAGTCTATGGGGCTGTCCCTCCTTTCTCTGTGGGAAATGACATTTGCTGCCGCTTCCCCATATTCCATCTGTTTTCTGTTTCCTGCTACAAACCCAGCCCTCACAGGTGTAATGCTTGGTCCTAAACTAGGAATTCTCAGCCCACAAGACTGCTGCTGCTTTTCAGGTACTTCTAAGCCAGCGTGTGGCTCTTTGTACTTGCATCTTCTTCCTGTCCCCAGGGTTGCACGAAGGCATTCCCTGCCTCGATGCTGGGAAGCTGTTACACACAGAACCCCCAAAAATCGCATTGACCATCTTTCCTGACACATTGCGCTGCGAGCTCATAGTTTGCTGCACGTTACCATTCAATGTCTCTTGGCCTCCCAAGTATCCCTTTCCCCTACTTTTGCTACAATTGCCTATCGATGTCAAGGTCAAACTTGCACCCAGCTCTGCTGTGGGAACAGAGAAGGAGAGCTGCACAGGCCTGGGGCAATGGCAGGGCACTCTGGAGCTCTATTTGTAGCTCTGCCACCACCAGATTTGGGGCCTCTTGCCTCTCTGTCGCCACATTCCCCCGTTGCATGATGCACAAAGGCAATTCTTGCTTTCAGGAGTTACACTGTTGGCTTCCAGTCAGCTGGGAGTGCTGCCTGGAAGGGTCAGGGATCGCGAAGCAGGTTGCCTGATCCAGGCACATTCTGCATTTCCAAGCCCCCCTTGTCTTGCTATTGTTCAGTTTAAGAGGGGGCACCATAAGAGTAGCAATGCTCTGCTGGGTCAGCAAGGACCTCACAAGGCAATAGAGTGGGTACCAGGAAATGCAAATCCAATCCCATCTCCATAGTGCGTCCTATACTGGCCAAGATGCATACTTCCCACTGCAAAAGAGAGCAGAACAACTACCCCACCAGCACTGGCTTACTCTCCATTGCGGCACTTTCAAGCCCACAGAGCAGCATCAGATTATCCAGTGCGGGGCAAGACAGCACAGACTCTTCCCCACTAACGTTATTTGCAGATATGGTAAACTTAAGAGCGAGCTGCTCCGCACAAACATTTGGTGAGGGGAGACACCTAACGGAAACACACGTACCCAATTTCCTCCCAGTGCTTTGCCATTCAGCACTGGTCAGTGATCCCAGGATGCTCTTAACACATCCTAGAAAAGGGACAAACACCAAAAAAAAAAAAAGAGGGACAGGCCTTCTTTACACACCCCCTCACCAGAGAGGATGGACCACCGCAGTAAAACACGAGCCCCAGGTGATGCCGGGTTTGTCTTCCCAAAGGAAAATCCTTGTGAGACACACCTCCTACAGCTCAGCACTGCTCCCATTTACAGATCTCCTTCCTTTCCCACTCTCACTTGACATTAGTGCCAAGTGCCTGGCAGCAGCTGGGAAGCCAATATCATTACTATTTGTATGCATTTGGATTTTGCAAATCATTAAGAGAGATGCTCATAAAGGCATGCCACAGGATCTCAGGTGGACAAATGCCAGTACTTCATCAGCACAGTTCACTCAATAATCAAATCCCCAGTGCGACTATCTAGAGGTCCCTGAGGTCCTCCTTGGTGGTCCAGAGGAAGGAACATCATGAATGCATGACAGCACAGGGAAAGAAAGAGGCCTGATGTGGCAGGATCCACCACAGGAGATCGCGCTCTCTTTTGACGAAATGACCCTCAGAGTGAAAAATTTCAGACCCCTGAGGGTTGAGGTGTTTGGAACAGGGGTGGAACCTCTCCCTGAACACTGCTGGCCAGGGGGAGCAGGTGAACTGAGGACTCGGTGTACTCAGTGCACAGCCGTTCACGCCACAGAGGTGTGCCTGGTAGCCCCAGAGACCACAGGTCCATAAATACTGCCTTCCTGCCTCGAGAAACACTCTCTCGCAGACAGCCTGCTCCCATCAGAAATAAGATCACTTTAAAATGACAGAGAAAGAGGTAAGGATTCCCCAACAGTGCCACAGGCAAGGCTGAGCTGGCCACTTCACTGTACATAGCTTGATTCTGCAAACTGTTGCCTGAAATATTCTAGTTTAGAAAAACAAAAGAAAACAAAAACAACCCCCAAAAGCAAATTACCCCTCTCCCCAACAAACAGATGCATATCTCAAAGCCCTTTCAGAGGAAGGAAACAATCCTCACCCCAGTTTCTACAGAGCGTGCAAAGAGAACAATAAGCCACAGCGCTTTGCTGTCAGACTCTGTTCAGAAACAGGAGAGCCTTTACCTGCCAGACAGCAGCAATGAGAGGCGGTCAATGGGCGTCTTGCCCTCCACCGCGTAATTCTGGTCTCTGACTAGCGACTGGACTTGCTCTTCACAGCACTTCACGATTTCTTTGTAGACTTCCAGGGGCACCTGCAAGGGCAGGTACATGGTCTTATAGAGGAGGTCAAACTCTTCCGGGATGGTGTCTCTGCGGAGCCGGTAAGCCAGGTGAGCCAGCTGAAGCAAGCAGGTGAGGACGAGCAGCATGTTCCAGACGAAGATGTCCAGCCCGCAGGCACTCAGCCAGCCCCACAGAGCATAGCAGAAGTAGCCTGGGGCCAGGAGGCCAAAGATATAGAGGGACCCAAAGATGCCACTTCCCCCCATGTAACCCAGGAGGACAATGCAGCTGGCCAGCTGGTAGGCTGCTCCTTCCATAATCTCCTTCCAGGCATCACACACTGGAGGCTGGAGAACAGCCTGGTCCCAGGAGAGGCTGCTTGCACTCATCCTTCCCCACTCCCCACCCTCCCCGGCCATCCTGCGCTCAAAATGAATTGTCATACACAAAGGGTGCTGCAGAGGTCTGAAACCAGAGCTGCTGGGTAGCTGTTCCTCCTCCTCCTCTTGAGCGCCAGCTGGTCCCACAGCAGCGCGCTTCAGAGCGACATGTTAAAGTGCCGCTGAACGTTTTTGCACCCGAAAAATCCCAAAAGGGATCGTTTCTCCTCTTTGTGGCTCACAAACTGGTGGCTGGCCCCCTCCTTAGCCACACCAGTGAGAAAAGGAGCTGGCAAATATGAGGCCAAAAGAACTCAGTGAAAGAAAGAGTAGAGGCCATTAGCTGGAAAACTTGCAGACAGGACAGAGATCTCGTTGCACTGCCTCTCTCGCCTGCCCTCCGGCAAATGGAAATAGCGACCGTGAGAGAGCAGCGGAGAGAGCTGGTGTTGAGTGTGGAATGTGTATCACTTGGCAGCGGAAAGGAGAGAGACCCCAAATGGATAACCATGTTTGGAATTGAAATCCAAGGAGCAAAAGCAGCGAGGAGAACAGAGAGCAAGCACGCACCCGCTACTTAACATAACTCAGGCACCCAGATAAGCCTGGCGCAGTGCGAGGAGGGGAAAGGAGAGGGGAAAAACAACCAGCTTATCGTGGCGAGCTCCAGCCGCACATGGGGCTCCGCACCGCCCTGCGCTCCTGCAGGAGAGTGACTTTCACCCAGCACAAAAAAGGAAAAAGGTCAACCCCTTCTCCCGCTGTGGCTTGTAGCAGTGGCAGGGACTTAGCAAAAGAAGAGAGGCTGGTCCTCGAGAAATGCTTTCCTGGCGCTGCAGCACAGCCTCCCCTTGCTCCAGGGAGCTCCATCTTGTGGGGCGTTTTGGACCAAGGGGCACGAGGTAAAGCTCTGCACGGGCAGACAGTTGTGATTGCAAGGGATAAAGCTAGAGTAAATGAGCTGCTGGGACCCAGCTTCATCTGTCACAAAGAGGAGACTATCCTGCCTAAAACTTTGGGAGTGTAACGCTTGGAAGCATGTTTTGCAGGGAAATCCTAGTTGAGAGGGGATTCTCCCACCCCACAGATAACAGACTCTGTTGGGAAGCATCCTTGGGAAACGTCATCTCACATTTTCATTTTTTTATAGCTATTTGGAACCCCCCAGACCTTAATTTAGCACGAAGAGGAAAGCGAACACTTTCCACTCGGGTAACCCAGGACACATGCACGAGGGGGACCCGCCGAGTTCAGTCCTCCGTGGTCAGCCACAGAAAAGACGCATAAATGCAATTTCTCCCCTGCTTTGAGAAACACGTTATCAGTCATACAGGCAGGATCTGCCCCGCTGCCAGGAAGCAGTTACATTTCAGGCATTGACGCAACCTGCACAGTCAGTCAACAGTATGAAGTCAGCCTGCATGGGTCAGTGGAGTAGAGATAGGGTTTCAAGGGTGGTCGTGTTTCAGGCCGAGCTTGCAGCTGCCCTGCCTAACATGCCATTCCCAGTGGCACCATTCACTTAAAGACACACTAATCGCCTCTTCCACTAATAGTGCTCTGGAATAACACTGTCTACTGGGCGAGGCCGAAGCAATGCTTTACGGCAACAACAAAGAATTCATCATGGTCTTGGACAGTACAATCTATCTCTACAACGATTAGCCCACGTGCAACACGGAGCGGTACGACTCCCAAGAGCAGCAAAGGCTGTGCCATCTTGACAGGTTGCCACATGGGAAGGAAACAAGACAAATTAAGCTTTGCACAGGGCGTGAGTACGATCCACTCAGAAAGATGCTTTCTGTTAAGGGTGAAGTGAAACAGGGAACCTTGTCTCCAGTGGTCCCTTATTTAAGTGAAGAAATAAATCCTACTGACTGAAGCAGAACAAGGCTCAGCTGCAAGAGGTATGGAGAAATGAAGAACTTCATTTCTCTTGACCTTCTCTGCAAAGAGGGAGGGATGATCTTATAGCCAAAGCACTACAACAAAAATCTTGGGAGCCAAGTTCTGGTTTTCATACCATTGCCATGTACTTGCTAGATGATCCCAACAACAACTTGTCTACCTTTAGGCCTCTGAAAAAAACCCAATATTATAAGGGGCCCTCTTTCCAAGATAGGCTGACATTTGATACAATGGGGAGTTGGCATATCAAGATTGGGAACACTTACGAGAAAGATACTTTACATAAGATCTGTGACACAAAACTGAACTGCTATGAATAGCAATGTAGAACATTAGAGGAAGCATTCTGAGAAGCAACACTGCAATTTCTCCCACCTTTCCGTACCACCAAAAAACTTTTGCAGCAACATCAAAGAAAGTGACCAAAAAAAAAAAAAGTTATTAATTTCATTCCTCAGTTAGGTAAATTCCTGAGCTAGAAAATACTCTGGAACACAATGTTAATGACTCGTTAGGACAAAGAAGGTGCTTCCTCTGGCGTCTTCCAGAACATGGGCAGTGGCGTTGCAGTAACCCCAGAGGCGTGTGCCGGGGTCGTAGTGCTGCCGGGGCCAGCGCCGTGGGCGAGGACGGCCCGTTGGACTTCCCTGCGGAAGGCAGACTGGGAGCTTTAAACCCACAGCAGTCACAGCACAAAGCTCTCACTAGAAACTACACAACTTTTCTGCTGGGGCTGAACGTGACGTCGTAGAGAGAATGATACAGCCTTTTAAAAGGTAGATCTCTGAGCACACGCTAGAGATTAATTTCGGTGTTTTCAGGCCCAGTTTTTTAAAAGGAAGATTTGTAAATTGATTGAGCCACCAAGGCTCAAATCTTCCTTTCTCCCTTGAGAGTACTGTGGCCATACGGACCGTCTTCACAGCACTTTCAGTTTTCCACCCAGCAAGAGTTCAGAAAGCTCTTCATTTTCCAAAGAGAAATTTTATTTTCATGCCTTGCCTTGAATTAGAATACATGCCTCCCATCCAGGGATGCTGGGGTTCATCCAAGATGAGTGTTCAAAAGCCAATACTGATTCAAGGGGAAAGCAACACAAGTATTAAAAGGGAGATGCCAAGGCCCAAAACAATTTGGAATCAAGAGAGCAAGTGCATAGAAAACACCCGAGCAGCGTTAAGACTCTTCCCTGGAAGGCGGCACATAGGCATTACAACAAAATGAGTCTGTGAAGAAGAAAAATAGACACGTCAAGCTTTTCAGCACTGAAACTGGCAGTGTGTGAACAGGTACTCCACTGATTTCCCCACTTACAATGAATTCAACCAGTAGCACTTAATATTTAGCCCCATGCAACGATGCAATCCAGGTGCGGCCTGCACTATGTTTGGCAAATAAATCCTCTGTCCCTGAGAGCAGCACCGCACCGAGAGATTATCCGTCCCAAATCTCACAGCAGCTAAACGACTGGCTCTTTTGCCCATCCTCAGGACATCTACAGGTTCACTGCTGATCCCATAAGCTAGTCCAATCACCTGTGTTGAGGACACCAAGACCTTGGTGGCTTAAAGTCAGAGGGGGCATAACCAGACATCTCCTTTTTGATTTATTATATAGTGCATCGCTGGCATTAGTCTGCAAAACTGTTACTTACACACTAATAAACCCTGTAGCTCCAAAATAGCCACCCGGTGTTTCAAGTCACATTCGATTTACAACTACTGGGAAAGGTCTAAAGCCTGCTCCAGACAAGCTCATGGTGAATCGCAAAGGGACAAAGATGGCACGTACTGTATCTAGTTGCACTGCTATATAGTTTAGTCAAGTTTCCTGCTACTGCTGCGTTTCATGCCCTCGCAGGTACACCAAACACCCTGTGCAGGGCAGTGTGTGTCACCAGCTCCATCGGTAAGTAGTAACACAGTGCCAATAACTCCCGCTCCTCAAAACAAGCCTTGAATCCACTCCACGGGAATCCTGTAGTAACAGATTAATTAATCTGCTCAACAAGAAATACGATTTGACTACAAGGGTTTTTTTGTTGTTACTTGAAGTATAGAGTTGTCCAGTATCCTTTCTGTACCTGTTGCACACAGGTATCGCGGCATCCCACTCATCATCTTCCTTCCAAAAACTTTCTAAAGTATCTACCATGCTTTTACCTTCATGCAGGCCTAGATGTCCCATTTCTTAAGTTTATAGAATTTGTGTAAAATTGTACAGGGACCCATTGTTTCTTTTCTTGACCCGATTTAAACAGCAGTCCAATCACTTGACCACTGCCAACCCCTGCCCTGCTCTTCACTCTGTGGCTCCGTTTCCACAGTTTACCCAGACTGGACCTGCTACCACAACGCTGGTGCTCGCCCACCTTTTAACGTTCTCTTCAGTTCAAGCTCTGACACGCATTGATTCAACAACAAATGACCTTATTCAAGTTTCCACCTCAAGACGACAATAAACGCCAGGAGGAGCACCAGGTCCTGCTCCCCAGCCAGCCACAGCGCCGCAGAAGGCTTTGAACGCTTTTTGCCAGAACTACACCTGCGTCCCTTCTCTTAGGCTGGAAGCCAACATGGGCACAACTCTTACCTCAGGACAGGAGAGCAGACGAGCAGTGTAGAGCCAAGTCTAACAGCCCGGCTTGTCCCCTGCAAGCATTTTAGAGTACACTTCCACAGACTCCGGGACCTTCATGAAACATTCCTGGAAGCAGAGTCTAAACTCTCTTCACACAACTTGCGAGTCTCGGCAGAGACGGTACCAACTGTCGCATACTAAACGTTTACAGCCTACTCACTGCTAGCTTAGAATATGCAGGGCCCAGCAGGCAGAGAAATTATCACGACTGCACCCATCCGTCCAACAGGATCAAAGCCAAGAGAAGAATCCAGACAAAGCACAGATTTTGTATCTTCCAATTTCTGAAAAGAAAACTCAGCAGGAGGAGAGGAAGTAATCAGTGATGCCATCTTAAGCAAAGTCAGCTCACCACAGGAAGAACAATGTTAGGGTTGCACAGCGACATAGTGTGAAACCAACAAAGTCCCACGTGTAACAAACTATCAACTGCACTTTTTTTGCTCTAGATTGTTAAGAAGGAACCAAAGGCCACAACCACCTTCCCACTGTCATGTCACACAGGTGAGAAAAAAAGCCAGAAAACAAAAGCCCATGCGCGCCTAGCACGAGACCAACACAACAAAAACTGGGCATAAAAAAAAAAGTTTTTCTTTCAGGCAAGTGACCTGTACGTACATCTGCAGTCCTCTGCTCCCTTTCCCTTGAAGAACTACTGGCTCAAGAATTTGAGTTTGATATGCGAAGTACTTAATTCTTCATTTGAAGCTTGAATCCTAGGGTAAAGCTATTCAAAAAAAAGTTGGAAGAATTCTAACGGGACAGCAAATCCAGTTCTGACTCTAAGGAAAGTTCATTTCATAAGGCTGTGGTCATCTTGTACAAATACAATTACACCTAGCATCACAAACAGCACTACAAGCTTCAGCGTGGCTTTGCTGAAAGCAGTAACAGGGCAGTGTTACTAGCACAATTTCTCAATTTGCATCAGCGGGAAAACCCACCGAAGGCCCATCTGTTCAACCACACCACCAGAGTAATCAGTGTTCTCGTGTCAATGAGTAAGCAGGCTTTTCTCATTCTCTCCATTCCTACAGCACAGTGTTTTCAACGAGGAGGGCACTGTCATTTCTTTACTTAAAAAGAAACAGAAGTCAGGAACACCGGTCATTTTCAGACTTTTATTTAGAGGAAAAAATATATTTTCTATAGCAGCGGTCAAGAACTAACAGTGGAAAAGCCACAGACGCGATGCACAATCTATCATTAGAGACTCTTCATAAATAGATTCTTTGTTTATATTTGTTCTTTGAAGTAACTTGCAGAAATAATGTATTTTGCAGCTTTCCAGAGCACAGTCACACCACAGACATCATCTAGAAGAGAGAGGAAAGACAGCTTCACAAAACATGGATTTCCACTGGATACTGAGGGACAGTTCAACAACCAACAAAAAAACCCCAGCGACAAACCCACAAAACCCAGCCCCCACACTGCCCTAGCATCAGAAATCTAAGTTGAAGTTCAGATCTATTAGAAGACAACAGAGGCAGAACCACACTCTGCTGCTGAAGAGCTACTCACAAAGGCTGCATACTGCCAGAAGGCTTCAGCACCCTCACAAGGGCAGCAGTACTTACTCTAGTGTCAGTGAGGATTACTTTGCCTTCCCCCTCATAAGGAAGACACCCTTGCCATCACGAACAGTACTCCGGGCCTTCCAGAGGCACCAGCTGAGATGCCAGGGCACGTCAGAGCTCCTGAAGGCTATACTCACCACATTCACAGTCCTGCTCATCTCACTTATATCTTGAAGCCCAGAGCTCTCATACACTCTTTGTGAGCTTCGATCAGGGGCCCACAGTTTTCTTCCCCCTTCTCAATGATGCTGCAAAACAAGAAGATTTCCAAGGTTCAACAACAAAATATTTGCTTACTATTAGTCAAAGCCACAGAACTGACAAGCTGTTGGGGACAATCAAAAATCCCTATTAGGCTCCAGAGATGTTTTTGCCTATCCTGTCCAGGGTAGCACTGTTTTAGAAAGTATAATGCTGTCTCAAAAAGGTGCCCAAGTCTGGAGCTGTGCACTCAAAACTCTGATGAAACACGTAACAGGATTTCCTATTAACAGGCCAGAGTCTAGTCTAGACAAGTCTAGACAGGCATTCCTTATACAACACAAGGCTGTCGCATCACTTCTTCAAGTATGCTGATCTCGTCAGCGACCAGTTTCAAATCATTCAGTACGGAAGCAACAAAATTTCTCCAGTAAGAGACCAATACAGAATAGGTTGACCAGTAAATGACATTTTAGTCCAGCTTCAGTTGGTATCTAGGGAACCTGAAGCAAAAAAAAACTGTCCAGCTACTCTTAAAAAAAATTATTTACCACGTATGGTAACTTTTGATGTTACTCATCCATCCAAGTGCCTAACACGTATTCAAATAGCGGTAAGAGCCTACCATCGTTGGTATAGCGCGTATACCACAAAAGCAGATCAGACTTGCTCTTTGATTGACTTGCAGGGCACGTCCTGTCCCCAGAGATAGGGATTCCACCACGCTGCAGAGCTCAGGTCACAGGTCTGATCAACCCTCATCTGCCAGATTACGCTATTCTTGCTGCCAAAGGAAGAAACTACCAAATTTTGAATAACTAATATCTTATTTTTTAATCATTTAAGTTTTATTAGATTAAGTATGGACAGGTGTGCTGGCCACCCAGGGCAACTCCATCTGACCCGGGACTTGTATCCTACCACCCTTTTCTTAGAGAGCCCTGACCTCTACCATGTAACTAGACACCCCCCGCTAACTTTGGTAAAAATACAGCGTCCGGTATTATGTCACCTACTGAACGACATCTGTACCACTTGTCAGGTAAAAAAAAAAGACAGTTTGATCACCAGACTAAAGTAATTTACTGTCATAGACAAAGGAACTCTATTTTGGGGGTGCATTTCATGCTATTTGATACGTCCTATGGTTGTCACTAAGCCTGTAATTACAAATGCAGCTATATGCATCATTGTCAAATTTTGCTCTTCTGTGAGAAATGTCATCCTCTGAGACCTAAAAAACAAAGTATTTAATTTTATTTAAAAGAGAACAGCGTTTGTAATCAATTAAACAATAAAAATGTTATTTCCTGCTGGTACTTGTTGCTTCAGTCAGTAAACAGTAGTGAAGATTTGTAAGCAGCATTAAAAGCTAATCTCTGAAACTTGTTTTAAACCAGGGCTATTAATCTAATTTACCCCTTTAAGACATTTCCTCTTCCTCCTCCGCACTCCCCCTCCATCCCTCTCCCACCCCTCCCGGATGCTCCAGCACCCTCGGTCCGGGATGGGGAGGGCCCCCAAAATCACCCCGGCACGTTGGCAAGGGCAGAAACTCCTAGAAGGTCGCAACGAGCGGGGCAGGGAGGGAAAACCACCGGGCCGGGCCGGAAGCGGGCGGAGGGCTGGTTAAAACGCCCCAGCAGCTCGAAGACGGGCCGAGCCCGCGATGGGGAATACCGCGC